TGCTTTGGGGTGTTTCTTTTTATTAATCGTTACTTAAAACATGAATTCAGTTGGAGAGTTCTTTTCCTTTTTCTAAGGTCAGGAGTCAATGTAATGGCCCAAGAATGCCTATAGCCTAAACTATAATGTCAAAGCTTCTGCCTGTAGCGTGATGAGAAGGCAGTGCACTGGCACTAGGGACATGACTCGTGCCTGCTGCTGCCATTGACCAGCTGGTTCCTGGAGGGTATCTTTTGGCCCTTGTGGTATTTAAAACAAAAACAAAAAACAAAAAAGTTTCTTGGTTTCTAGCATGTAATCCGATAATATTAATAGTTGCCATGTCTGAGTGCTCCTGGGTTAGTGCCCTGAGTTAGGTGTTAGAATTTGAGAGAGGCTGGGCATGGTGCTTCATGCCTAGCACTCTGGGAGGCTGCAGCAGGATGATTGCTTGAGGTGAGGAGTTCAAGACCAGCCTGAGCAAGAGTGAGACCCTGTTTCTACTAAAAAAAAAAATTAGTCACGTGTGGTGGCCTGCACCTATAATCCCAGCTACTCGGGAGGCTGAGGCAGGAGGATTGCTTGAGCCCAGGAGTTTGAGGTTGCTGTGAGCTAGGCTGATACCACGGCACTCTAGCCTAGGTGACAGAGTGAGACTCCGTATCAGAAAAAAAGAGAAAAAAGAATTTGAAGGATTGTCTGATCACCTGATTAATGCTCATGTGTATTTTGACTATAGTTGAGTCTTTACTACAGAAATTTCATATTCAGTCTAATGCTATGATGTAAATGTCTGCCAAATACAATACTTATCTCAGAAACTCTTCCTTGCAGGGCACAGTAACCGCAGTAGAAACAAAATCTTTGTTTTAGGTAGAAACATTACCAACAAATGTTTCCACAACAGAAATGCTTAACATGAAAAAAATTTGTCTATGGCCATGATAATAGTGTGGTTTTTGAAAACTTTCAGTCCATGTACACACCCCACTTTTTTTTTTTTTTTTTTTTTTTTTTTGAGACAGAGTCTCACTGCGTTGCCTAGGCTACAGTGCCGTGGCACCAGCCTAGCTCACAGCAACCTCAAACTCCTGGGCTCAAGCAATCCTTCTGTCTCAGCCTCCGGAGCAGCTGGGACTACAGGCATGTGCCACCACGCCTAGCTAATTTTTTCTATATATATATTTTTACTTTGTCAATTAATTTCTTTCTATTTTTAGTAGAGATGGGGTCTTGTACTTGCTCAGGCTAGTTTTGAACTCTTGACCTTGTGCTATCCGCCCCGCCTCGCCTCCCAGAGTGCTAGGATTACAGGCATGAGCCACTGTGCCCGGCCTCACACCCCACTTCTATACCCTCCCCTCCTTGAGGGTTTTTATACTAGCTAGGGACTCTTGGGTATGACTTTAGATTAGTCTGCCTTTAGAAATATTAAAAAACACATTTGTATGATTAGGGAAGGCTCCTATCATCAACCTCCCCCTTCCAAAAAGCACTAAATTTGTGTAACCATGACTGCTGTCAGTGTTGTTTTAAACACTTAGTACTGTTAGCAAACATTTGCCAATAAAGGCATGGCTTTATTGCTTAAAGGTAACTTCTAATATAGTAAATATGCGTACATCTTTCACTTTAAATCCACAAAATCTATGAATAAGACCTTTAAAGGATATAGGTGATATATTTTTTTTGAGACAGAGTCTCACTTTGTTGCCCAGGCTAGAGTGAGTGCCATAGTGTCAGCCTAGCTCACAGCAACCTCAAACTCCTGGGCTCAAGCGATCCTGCTGCCTTAGCCTCCTGAGTAGCTGGGACTACAGGCATGCACCACCATGCCTGGCTAATTTTTTTCTATATATATGTTAGCTGGCCAATTAATTTCTGTCTGTTTATAGTAGAGACAGGGTCTCGCTTAGGCTGGTTTTGAACTCCTGACCTCGAGCAATCCGCCCGCCTCGGCATCCCAGAGTGCTAGGATTACAGGCATGAGCCACCGTGCCCGGCCAGGTGATATTTTCTTAATAACTTCACTACTGTAGTCACAATAAAGTAGTCAATTTTCACAAAACTAAAATCATTCATACCAAATGGTAAATTGATTAAAGAGGCTAATAATAGTAAATATATTAAAGTAAGCATTTCCTATTTCAACTAAAGGCCAAAAAGCTACCTGTGAAATTAAGGCATAACAGAATAAATAAGCCAGTGCTATATACCACATACTGCTCATTTTTAGGATTAAGAAGAAAGTCTCCTAATCACGGTGCATTTCAATTGACAAACATATTTATTTATTTGCCTTCCTCAAATCAACTGATAAGATTTAGGTGGTCGGATTCATGAAGGTAAAAAAAAGCCACTAAGGAATGAACGGGGCTCCAAGGGCTGGTACTTTGCTTATTTTTGCAAAGGGCATATAGCAGGAACCTAGCACTTCCAGACACAGCACAGAGTTGTGGTAGACACCTTGGAAATTCCAGAGCAGGAGGAGAATTTAGAATCTTAATAGAAAGCTTTAGGGCCTACAAAGTTCACACTCCCTGACAAGGAAGACAATTATCCCAAATGTATTTATTATAAAAAAAGAGAAAGAGAAAAATACTGTAATACTCTTTGGAGTCCTTGCAGGAATTAAATGAGAAAACATAGATAAAAGTGTCCAGCAAGGTTACCAAGATGAATTAGGTGCTCAATAATGTTAGCCAAATTTGAATAGTGGGAATTTTATTGGGGGGGAAAAAAAACGATTCCTCAAATTATGTTAGTGGGTTTTGTTAGCATTTGTAGTTTCTAGGAATCAGACATAGCATCTGAAATGAGTTCAATTATCAACTGAAATAAACCCAGGCCAATCAAATTCAGCAATATAGCAAGTTTAGTGGGAGTTCTTTCCTGGTTGAACTGTAATCCTTAAAGTCTTGGCTATTTAGCACAGTTGATGGATAAACATTGGGGATTATAGCCAAGCACAAGTCAAGCTTTATAAAGAGAAAAGCACTGAAATGCTAAGATTGTGTAGGACAGCCTTATCCCTGATGGATATCATGCAAAGAAGACATTGGTCATGAGAGGGATTGCAAAAGAGTGCAGCCAGCTTAACGCAAACAAACACACTTTAATTTCTTGAAAACCTCAAAGCATATCTGTACGTACGTCATGTTATATAAGGAAAAACAAGTTGTTAGAAAACATGTTTTTCAAGTCCACTAAAGGTCTATGTTAAGGGCAGTAATTTCCTTGCTATGACCAAAGTGTTTGATTTCCTAATGTTAAAAAAAATATTGTATGAATTCCCTCAATCATTGCTTATTTGAGAAAGAAAAAAAAATATAAATAAAAAAAATATTGTAAATAGAACATAACTTCACAACTGAAGTTTCCAAGATGATAAGAATCATTAGTTTTACTTTAATTACTTTAGTTTTGTCCACCAAAGAGAGAGGAAAAAACCACAAAAGAAAATCTAGGCAGGGTGTGGTGGCCAGTGCCAGTAATGACAGCATTCTGGGAGGGGGAGGCAGGAGGATTGCTTGAGGCCAGGAATTCAAGACCAGCCTGGGCAACTAAGTGAGACCTGGTCTCTACAAAAAATTAAAAAAAAAAAAAAAATAGCTGGGAGTGGTGGTGCATGGCTGTAGTCCTAGCTAATTGAGAGGCTACGGCAGGAGGATGGCATGAACCCAGGAGTTCAAGGCTGCAGTCAGTGAGCTATGATCATGCCACTGCACTCTAGCTTGGGCAACAGAGAAACCTTGTCTTGTAACAACAACAACAACAACAACAAATCAGCATATTCAGGTACAATATTAAAATTCAGATGATAAAGATAGGGTTCAGCATGCAAGCAAAAAATACCTGATATATAGGATGAGGGTGGTGGCTCATGCCTGTAATCCTAGCACTCTGGGAGTCGGAGGCAAGAGGATTACTTGAGCTCAGGAGTTTGAGACCAGCTTGAGCAAGAACAAGACCCCATCTCTACCAAAAATAGAAAAATTAGCCAGGCATAGTGGCATGCACCTATAGTCCCAGTTACTCAGGAGGCTGAGGGAGGAGGATGGCTTGAGCTCAGGAGTTTGAAGTTGCAGTAAGCTATGATGACGCAGGCCACTGCACTCTCCTAGGGGCAACAAAGTGAAAGTCTGTCTCAAAAAAGAAAAAAAAATCTTATATGTGCAATAGCTGAACTTAATTTAAAGTTATGACAATTTCTAAATTTGGAAGCTCAGAAAAAGATATTTTTAAGTGAAGTAATAAATGATTTCTAAATGCTTTGTAATACATTTTAAGTGAAAAACCTAAATATTCTACTGATTCAAGGCACTGATATTACAAATTCTTTTCTGCTAGGTTAGCCAACATGTGTGAGAAAAATAACTTTAATTCATCATTCCCTGTAGAACATACAAAAGAGGTCATTTTCTATTATTCTCCTCTTTCTTCACAAATATAGAAAAATGTCTCTGCAATTCATTCTCCTCCAGTAAGAGTTCTATTGGAATTGATGCAAGTGGGTAGCACCCTTCTCTCTCTTTCGCAGTGTGACCTCAACATTAACTTTAATCCCATTTATCTACTAAACTTTGCTCATTAAAAAAAGTAAGCTCATGACATCCACTGCAATATATGAAAATTCACTCATACAGGTTGGCAGCATATTGTAAGTTCTGAACTAACGTTTTAATTCTAACAAAAATAGACAGGTTTCTTAATTGTGTGACAGAAGCAAACAGCAACATGTGTAATGCACCAAAGATGTAGAATTTAAATAATCTGAATAAATAAAACAATTAAATGCCTACATATAATTCTTAACAAACAATCTTACTTACAGAAAACCTAAAGCTGTTTTTAAAATTTATTTCCAATTTTACTGTAACTTTTCTTCATGAGCAGATCACAACAGAATTAGGATTATTTCCAGAAATGTGGTCAGTTATACACTGGGGCTGTATTTAATCCCCCAGTGATATCTGTCTTTATTTACACTGTGGAAAATGAAACAATGTTTCATGCCTTTCTGGACAGTCCATAGGTTTTTATTTACATTGCTTTGAGAGAGGGAAACAAAAGATATCCCTTTACAATTAATTGTCTTACAGAAATCTCAGTTTTGAGAGTAATATATGAGTATAACACAAGTTTTAATATATACTATATGGAAACATATATTTATATATACAACATAAATAAATAGACAAATAAATGAACTGACTATAAAGTCTCTGGAAATGTAAATTTATAGACTGACCACAAGACACAGAACTTAGACCTGTAATGGAGAAAAATCATTATTGGCCTGAAAAAAAATAAAATACTGTTGTCACTAACATGGGAAAAATTAAATAGAAAATAGAAAACAATAATCACCGGAAAACCTGTGTCTTGTAAAGATTTCTTTCCATCAGAAGATGCAGAAACATTTTTCCCCCTGGAGCAAATGAAAAGGTTTCTCATGCTCCCCCAGTTTCTTCCCTGCGTTTTCCCTCAGGCGCCGGTGTAGACAGCAGGTGTGGACTTTTTTCCAGAGATGAGAAGTAAAAATCTGTACTTTATCGGGAACGGGTGCACTTTTCCCCCTGGCCCCCCTTTCCTCTGCCTCCAAGATGGTAGGAAAGTTGTCGTTTCGGAGGGCAGAGGAACTGCTCTCTGGTGTTATGTCCTCACAGTGCCTGTAGTGGTGCTGTAGGAGGCTGCTGCCTCTTCTGGTGCAGCCCCGGCAGCCCTGCCTTCTTGGCTGGAGAGTATATTCAGGGATTTCCCCTTAATAATCACCGACCCTGGGAGCACTTTTTAGTTTCCAAAATAAAAATATGATCCTCACCCCTCTTGCTTGACAGGGAAAGGCTCTCGCTGGAGCCCAGGGGGGAGCTGTAGCAGCGGCGGCCGAGCTTCCTAGTCCATTGCCAGCGCCTCTCACTCTGATCTGTCAGCCCAGCCGAGGGAAAAGGGGGGAAGGAGAAAAAAAAAAAGCAGCTGAAAGGTAAGCAGAGGCGGCCCCAGGCCCGGCCCACATCCCCGGGCTCCCGTAGGGCGGCGGGCTGAGCCGCGCAGGCAGGGCGGGCGGCGAGCGCGCTTACGTGAGGCCGGGGATTCGCCGGCCCACGCCAGGCCCCGGGCGGAGAATGAAAGGGTGAGTGGGGCCGGCGCCAGGGTGGCGAAGGCCGGGGGCCTGGGGACCTCGGGGCCGCCCGCGGGCGGCGACGGCGGGCGGACAGGGGTCCAGCCAGAGCCGGACGAGCGGCGCGGCCTGCGCGGGCCGGGTCGGGGAGAGTGGCGGGAGGGGGGGCGCCAGCTAGGCCTCGGGCCGGCAGGCCCCGCGGCGGCCGCGCCCTGCCCTCGCACCCCGGGCCTCCGCGCGCCCCCTTGGGTCTCCCGGGGCCTCCGGGTGGGACGGCAGCTCTGTCGAGCCGAATCCCGCGCCAGCCCGGAGGCTTTCCCGCGGGGCTGCCGGGACTGGGGCGTCAGGGCCTAGGGGTGGGGAATGGGCGCCCGACCTCCCTTCCCCCCGGGTCTCTTGCAATAGAGACGCCCCCCGGATTCCGGTAATACTTGAATTTATTTATCCCCCTCCTCCGCGCCCCGGGCGGCCTGGCCAGGGCGGGGCGGGCGGCCTGGCGGGCGTGGGGTGGGGTGGAGGGGCGGTGAGGAGTCAGGTGCAGCCGCGGCCCGGAAAGTTTCCTTTTAGGCCTGAATTAGGGGCTGCTCTCTCTTCGGGGAGCGCTGGTCCTAGTGCCCGGGACCCCCGAGGGCGTGGGGGAGAGCACTCGGCTATTTTGAAACTCTTTGCCAGTTCCTGTCCATTGAAGGTACTCCGCCCCTGCACCCCTCGCCCGTGCCCCACCCCACTCCGCGAGCCCTTTCGGGGCTGAAACTCTAGCCGGTTCCCCAAGAGCCCCCCCCAGGCTGAGGAGAGGGCCTTTTCTTCCGGCTTGGAAAAGTTTTCAAGGGGTTTTTCTTAGCTTTATTAGTTAGTGCCTGGGCTTTTGGGGGTGGGAAGGGAGGAGGTAAATTCAGGTAGTGTTTCTACTGTACAGTTTTTCAGTATCGCCTTTTTTTGGCCCTTACCCCACAGTCTGGGGGTGTTATTTTCAGATTTAGTGCCCACCCCCACTTCTTCACGGACTCCTTTGGGTCCAAAATCCCCCTCCTGGACAGCTCCGGCAGAGGGAGATGCAGGGAGCAGTGGGGAGACTGTCAGTGCGAGGGGCAGGACCAGGCAGGATTTCTGGAGCAGTCCCCAGATGTAGGAGTTTCCCCTCGGATTGGTCACTGTCCGGTAAAACCAACACGGGAACAGAACCCAAGGTGGGGACCTGGTTGTCAGAACTCTTGGAAGCCTTCAAAACTGGGAGGAGGAGGAAGGAGGACAGGAGGTGGGCAGGGCAGCTCGCGAAGCAAGGTGTGTCTACAGTTTAAGGATCAGTAGTTTATTTATTCTGATAATAACTACTTAGATTTATGTGATATTCTTATAGTCGACCCTAGAAATAGAATAGGGATTTTTAAGGAAACTTAAACTTGTTTTTGCCACAATTTAGAAGGGTCTGTGGAAGAACTGAAGATAGCTACACTTTGGTTTTGGCATATATATATACACATATATATATATATTTTTTTTTTTCTCTCTCTCTCTGTTTAAATGGATTCAATTTTAGCTACATTTTGGTGCCATGAGCTCTGAAAGTTTGTTTTAAAAAATGTGGTAAACTTAAATTTCCAAATCTAGATTTCCCGCTTTTCAGGGCCAGGAGGTATCCCATGGTTACACTTACCTCCTTGGACTTGTTCTTGAGTGTTGAAGTTGAAATGGTAATGGACCCGGCCACCCCTACAGCCAACCCCCAGTGGGGGCGTGTTGGGAGAGGTTGTTTTCCCTCTTTCATTTGTTGGTTTTTTTTTCCTTCTGTCTCTGGTGGACTGAGGGCAGTGTGTGGTGTGTCTGTACCTGTGTCCTGCTGGGTAGCAGGCTGGAGTTTGCTGGCAGGAGGTGCTCCAGTTTTGACCACTCAGCCCCCAGAACACTGGCAGACAGTAAAAAGCTGCCACTTGCAGAGCAATGGGTAACCCGTGGCTTGGTCCATGCTGACTTCTGATGTCAGGCTGCTAAGTGAGACTCCTTATGTGATTCTTGCTAAGTGTGTGTCTTTCTTCTCCTTTGGTTTGCCTAAAATAAAACTCTTGTTTCTCCACAATGATAGATATCCGGCCACTTAATGTTGTGTTTAAGACAATCTTGGTATCTGAGAGTGTGTGGATTTGATACAAAAATGCAAATTACATTTAATGGTTGTTTTAACTTTATTGATTAATTGAAATTGCTTATTGGACGTTTTCATATATATATGTACCAAAAATCATTACTTCTATTATAGTTTGCTCTTATTTTTAGACCATAGTGGATGGAAAAAATCATTCTGTGTCTCTTAGAACATTTCAAGGTTTGAAAAAGTCTCTTGTTCTCTTCTCATTGCCTCATAGTTTGATATTTTTAAGGTATATTGTCAACTTCAGATTCCTAAGGTTTCAAAAACCTTTTATGTGTAAATACTAAAAGTTTTGTACTTTTCCTCACCTTGTCTCTCAAACATATATTAATTTTCTAATCTATTCCCCTCGAGGGCTCCGTTATTCCTGAAGGAATGGCAGTTTTGATGTTTTTAAAAGTTACCCTCTATTTGAAACTAATAAAAGACTTTCAGGGAAAATATTGAATTAATTTTAAGTTGCTAAGGGAATATACTTTTCTACTATTAAATGTTTGGTTTTAAAAGTAAATGTTTATTTTAATTTATAAGTCTGAAATACTCAGGTTTTCTTTCTTCTGAAAGATTTTATAAGGAAATTTGTATACTCCCATTCCAGCTATTTTTCTCAACAAATCATGTTGCTGCTATAGTTAGAGAAATGAAAACTTAGTTTAGGTGGAATTGGATTTCTTTTTCTTTATTATTTATATATTTTTTTTGAGACAGTCTCAACTCTGTTACCTGGGCTAGAGTGCTGTGGCGTCAGCCTAGCTAGCAACCTCAAACTCCTGGGTTCAAGCAATCCTCCTGCCTCAGCCTCCCAAGTAGGTGGGACTACAGGCATGTTCCACCATGCCTGGCTATTTTTTTTTTAAATATATATATATTTTAGTTGTCCAATTAATTTTTTTTTATTATTTTTAGTAGAGACGGTCTCGCTCTTTTTTTTTTTTTATTTCAGCATATTATGGGGGTACAGATTTTAAGGGGTCTCGCTCTTGCTCAGGCTGGTCTCAAACTCCTGAGCTCAAACAATCCACCAACCTCAGCTTCCCAAAGTGCTAGGATTACAGGCGTGAGCCACCACAACCGGCCTGAAATTGGATTTCTAAGTCAGAGCACCCAAAATTCAAAATGTCATTTCAAAGAAATGCTGATCCAGTCATACCTGAGATTTTTCCCCCCAGGTTAGCAGCTCTCACTATCCATGTTTGGAACATTGGTTATGGCTAATGGAAGGTCATTTATATCTGAATATAGTAAGAGAGCAATATTCTCAGACATACAACCTCTCCTCCTCCTTCCCCCCAACACCTGGTAACTTGTAAAACAGTAAGTGAATTGGTGAGACTGGGTTGGAGGCAGTCAACTGTCCCCAAAGCAGACACTCCACTGTATATACACCAGAGTCACATCTAAGTCCATTTAACTTATGCTAATGCGACTCTGTGCTAGGCAAAACCAACAGCAGGAGAGTCTACTTCACGTTTGAGTTCGTCCCAGAGGCCCTGACTGTAATGGCTGATTTTTGACCACGGTCCTGGCTATTTTGAGACTCTTAGGGAGATTTTCAAGTTAAAAACTTAGGCCTCCTCTCTTCTTTCCTTGCACTTAAGGTGACAGACTACTTGGTTCTGATTCTTTCACAGAATGTGATTTGTTTTGAAGACCAGTTTTTGGTGAAATTTTATTTGCATCATGGCATCCTGTTGTTAGACGCATTTGGACTAGGCTTTGGGTTCTGATCCCAGCTCTCCCATGGAGTGGGTTACTTAATCTTTGGTTTCTTTAACTGAAAATGGGAATAGATTTCTTTGATGTAAGGATTAGGTGAGATAGCCATGTGCTTGGCCTATGATATGTACTCTTCAAAGGTTAGTTTCACTAGCCTACTTTACCTTCCTAGTAGCACCATCTAAATACCATTTCTTATTTGTTTGCTTTTATTTTAACTAAAAGTAATACATATGTGCTCATACTATATTTGGAGAGTAGACCTATTCATCCCACTTAGAAGACAACCATTGTGTTTTTTTTTTTTTTGAGACAGAGTCTCACTTTGTTGACCAGGCTAGAGTGAGTGCCATGGTGTCAGCCTAGCTCACTGTAACCTCAAACTCCTGGGCTCAAGCAATCCTGCTGCCTCAGCCTCCCGAGTAGCTGGGACTACAGGCATGTGCCGCCACGCTCGGCTAATTTTTTCTATATATATTAGTTGGCCAATTAATTTCTTTCTATTTATAGTAGAGACGGGTCTTGCTCTTGTTCAGGCTGGTTTTGAACTCCTGACCTTGAGCAATCCGCCTGACTCCTCAGCCTCCCAGAGTGCTATGATTACAGGCGTGAGCCACTGAGCCCTGGCCTGAGACAACCATTGATAACATTTTAGTGTGTTGCCTCTCTCTTTTTTTGAGAGAGAGAGAAAGTGTGTGTGTATACAGCATAAATGTAAGCTTAGGCTCTTCCATGTAATAGTAGTTACATGTGTAGTTTTGTATTGGTTAAAAGCTTGGGCTCTGGAATCAAACTGGCCTTGAATCCCAGCTATGTGACCTTGGACAATTAAAATTACTTCATCTTGTTAAGTCTCAGCTTTCTTCATCTGCAAAAGGGGGTAATAATACTACCTATTTCATAGGGTTGCTATGAAAATTAAATGAAGAATTACACATAAAGCCTTTAGAATGCTTCCTGGTACATAACCTTTATATAATATTTTCCTCTAAAGACTTTTAATATTCTTGATGTGAATTTTTAATGAGTTCTTGGCTTTATTAATAAGTATTTGAGTACATATAGACTATTTTAATTACTTTCATGGGACAGGTATTTTTGTGCTAGTAAAAAAATATGCAGTACATTCAAAGTTTCAGCAGCTTCCAGTTACTCTAGTGTCTGTTGCTGAATTCTGTGAGTTCGCAAATGTAAAGGAGAGATAAGTACACCCACCTGTGGGGAAAGGAGGAGGTGAGTTTATTGAACCTGGTCCCTCCCTTTAAGCTTTTGAAACTAATCTGTAAGTACCCACACTTGTGGTCTTGTATGGTTTTTAGGGGCTGAGTAGTTTGTGGCCTTGATAGGTTCACTTTGGGCTAAAGGGGATGTTTGCCTGAGGCGATGGTAGGAGTTGCTGAAGCCAGTGCTGCCAGTTCATTCATTTAACAGATTAGCTGCTTTGTGGTAACTCTGAGCCTTGCGATGCAAAGACACTCTCTGCCCTTGAGGAGTTTTCATTCTATTGGAGGAGAAAAATATGCTGATATTTACCACATAGAATGTTAAGGGATAGGTAAGCCTGGAGGAAGGAAACCTACTTTTCCATTCTGGCCTAAGGGCAGGCTTTAAAGTGAGGTCTTTGCTGTGGAGGTTCCTGCCTCAGGCAAATGGGAGGGGTCAGGCATTTCGGGAGGTGGGACCTCTAAGTATGAGTAAATGCCTTGGGACAAAAGAGTATCCTGTGTTGCAAATTGTGGTTCTGTCTGGCCCTAATGTTGGGGAATAAATAATGAGGGAGGGAAAGGTCAATCTGGCCAGGTTGTGAGGAGTTTGTGTGTTAGTGTAAGGTGTTTGGATTTCTTTTGAGTTTGTAAGCAAACCCTGAAGACTTTGGGCCAGATAAATTATTTGGGATTTGGGAAGTTTGAGTTGTATTGATACTAAATGGAATAAAGGAGGGCAAGATTAGAATTAGACCAATGAGGCAGCTACTGAGAAGAGATTGAAAAAGGGTTTCGGTCGGGTGCGCCTGTAATCCTAGCACTCTGAGAGGCTGAGGCGGGTGGATTGTTTGAGCTCAGGAGTTCGAGACCAGCCTCAGCAAGAGCAAGACCTCGTCTCTACTAAGAAGAGAAAGAAATTAGCTGGACAACTAAAAATATACATAGAAAAAATTAGCCGGGCATGGTGGCGCATGCCTGTAGTCCCAGCTACTCGGGAGGCTGAGGCAGTAGGATTGCTCGAGCCCAGGAGCTTGAGGTTGCTGTGAGCTAGACTGACACCACAGCACTCTAGTCTGGGCAACAGAGTGAGACTCTGTTTCAAAAAAACAAAACAGGGTTCGAAGACCGCACAGGCAGGTTAACGAGGTAAGTAAGGTGGGCTGCATAGGTTGACCGGATGTAGGTGTAGGAATCATTCTCATATAGATGGCAGCTGAAATGGCAGAAGTAGGTAAGTTTGGTTTAGTCAGTGGTTCTTAGTCTTAGACCAGGCGTCCTCATACTAAGGCCCTTGGGCCACATGCAAGTGTTTTTGCCCATTTGTTTTTTTTACTTCAAAATAAGATATGTGCAGTGTGCGTAGGAATTTGTTCATAGTTTTCTAAAAACTATAGTCCAGCCCTCCAACGGTCTGATGGACAGTGAACTGGCCCCCTGTTTAAAAAGTTTGAGGACCCCTGTGTTAGACTCTTCTCCAGAATAATGCATTCATGTACATTCAATTTTGTAAATTTGGATTGAAATCTGGGGTAATAACCTCTTCTTGGGGGAGATATAGAGTAAAAATTCTGATAAAAGCCTGTAGAAATGTTTGACTCATACTTTTTGTGTCTATGTGTGTGACTTTATCACTGCTTTTTCATAAATGAGGAAACAGATTTATAAAATGACTTGGTCATGGTTATATATTCTTGTATGTTTCAAAGTTTAGGTCAGACATGGTGGCTCATGTCTGTAATTCTGGGGCTTTGGGAGGCTGAGATGGGAGGATTGCTTTAAGCCAGGAGTTCCAGACCAGCCTGGGCAATACATTGAGACCTCATTTCTAAAAAACAAACGAACAAAAAAAAAAAAAATTAAAAATTAGCTGAGTGTGGTGGTACACACCTATAGTTCCAGCTACTTGGGAGATTGAGGCAGGAGGATTGCTTGAACCCAGAAGTTCGAGGCTGTAGTGCACGATGATCATACCGTTACACTCCAACTTGGGTGACAGAGTGAGACCCTTGTCTCTCTAAAAAAAAAAAAAAAAAATTCAGTTTATATTTTGTAGAAACAGGCTCTTCCTATGTTGCTCAGGCTGGTCTTGAACTCCTGGTGTCAGGTGATCCTCCTGCCTTGGCCTCCCAAAGGGCTATGATTATGCACATAAGTTACCATGCCTGGCCAAACAAAAGTTTAAATGAGCTACTGACATGAAAAACATTAGATTTTGTGATACATTTTGGATTTTTATCTTCTTTTGAAAACTTGGAAGATCTGGAACCTTGGGGATTTGCATTTTGTTTTTTTTAATTGCAACAACTTGCTGGAAATGATTTGAGTCAGCCTATAGATGAACAAAATTTGCCAGAGAATGCCCCTGGCCCATTCCTGCAGCCTCTGTAGGCATTTCATCCTACACCCCAATAAAATATAATTAAAAGGACCTTGGGGAATATTGACCTGGAAGTGTGAGAGCAAGAGAAAGGAAGCCACTGACTGAGCAGCCAAAAAGTAGAGATTTTCAAGAAAGAGAAAGTGGTCAGCAGTGTCAGAAGCTGCAAAGAGGTCAAGTAAGCTACAAAGATGGAAAAGTGTATGTGGAATTTAGTAACAAAGAGGCCATTAGTTTCAGATTCTTAGAACAAAAGAACTTTAAGGAGTGTAACTAGAACTTAGTTTTCCTTCTAGTCGTGCAATGTAGAGTCTCTAACAATAGAGAGTGACTGTGACGTATAGGAATTCAGAAAGCATTTGTTGTGAAGGATTATTAACTGGAGCTAATAAATGCTGTAACCAA